AGTCGTGCCCGCCGGGCCCACAGACCCTCTTTATCAACATTTTATGTGCCGTGGATCTATAGCCTCTTATTATAAGTGTAATGAAGCAGAAGTTATTGAAGCCTTTTATTGATTGCTCAGATCACAAGTTTACTGCCATCCTGAATTGGCACCTTACTCGCTGAAGCAAACTGCTGACACCTTTTTTAAAAAGTGACAACTACATCTATTTCCTGACCAGAAATCCATTTTCATCTCTATCAAGACAAGAATGCAATTTTCACTTCATTTAACTGATGTTAGGCCCGCTCAAAGCATGACACTTCGAAAAAGACACAAGTTTAAGGTTCTTAAAATATTTCATGTAACCAGGATGCAGCTTGGTTTCGGGGGAAAATCAGCCATCGCTGGAATCTGCGAGCAATCAAATATGCTAAAAAAATTCCCCATAAGAGCCTTGGTGTAGCTTACACTTCCAAAATGACCCCACTCTGTTCCCACGGGCACGGTGGTGCCTTGTGATGCTCAGGGATTAGAAACCACCATCAGCCATTTCAAAGGACACTAAGAAGGTTGCTGAGAAGCCAAACATTTTGAGTTTCATCCAGAAAGGCTAACTCAAGGCCACACTCCCTTGAATTGCTGTGCCCAGTACATGCAGTGTAAAGGGAGAAGCAGAAATGCTAAATCTCTCTGTAAGACAAAGACTGATGAATGATTTCAATTGACCTTAAACAAAGGACCTAAAAAAGGCAGGTTTAAACACTTCTTTTATGAAAACAAAATATTGAGTTTTCTTCTTTTTTATAAACAAATTCCTATCACTGCTAAATGCAACTCAAGAGTATTTTGAGCAAGATCATTTTGATAATGATATTGTTATATTTAATATCTAATTAAAACAGATTGAAAGTATGAGTAAAATCATTCATTTTTGCTTATAAATTCTTTGAATCTAAAAGATCATGAAAATCTTAATTTAGATAGTAAGAAAATGTATTTCAATTTTGAACTGCAAAACCTGCACATACTAAAGTTATCTGGTTATTTCCTTATTAAATAATAATAATAAGCAAAACCACAACACAGTTGCAATTTAAACAGTGAAATATAAGTTTTTAAATAGAAATTCAGTGTCTGGGTTTCTCAGCCCAATTATTAAACTTTTTTTTAAAATGCATAAAGATACAATGACAAATATTACTTTGCTTAAATTAGTTTTTCCTTTAAAAACTACAAACAGAAATATTTAAATAACTCAGACCACAATTGTAGTTCTCAACAAACTTAACTAACAAATTCATATAAATAGCCCAAGCATTTATTTTCAAAATAAAACTAAAGAACTAAATGCTTTCCTAAATTTTCTGATAGAAAAAGAAACTGCTTGTATGTTTCAGCTATTCAGGTGAAGTTTAGGAAACGCCTATAGATTGCGAGAAACGTTTGAGGCTTTTTTTTTTAATTCATTTTGCTTTACATAAGCTAAAATTTAGCTCGAAGTTGATCACTCTTTTCCAAAGTGCTAACAATGCAGGAGCAGGATTTTTCGTAGGCATCTTGTGCCCTAGAGCAGTGGCTGCAGGCGGAGCTAAGGCGTCCAGCAGGAGGGTGGAGCAGCCATTTCCTTGGCCCCTGTCTGACACCCAGGAGTGATTGTACAAGCTCCAACAACCGAAACAGGTCATTAACAGTTTTAAATGATTAAAACCGAGAGTTTATGAACTCTTTCAAAATGGTATTTTTGATGAAAGACAAAGTGCCATATTAATTATGTAAAACTCTCTAGGAATTTTATTAGTTGTGGCGGTAGAAAGCAAAGAAGTATCTAAATCAGGAAGAGAAGAGGCTTCCAGAGATGAAGTTCCCCCAGATCGTGTTTGCACTTCAAGCCGCCGATCAGCCTCTCCAGCCCTAATTGCTGTAGCTGCCTGGCACGCTTCCATAGGCGTTTTTTCATTTTTACAGGTATTTCTGAACAGACTGACATATTTTGTTTACTGACAGCAACTCAAGCTCTGTGTAGGATCATAAATAAAGAAGATCGCGTTTAAAAATCGCTAATATCATTTTAAAAGGTAGCACAGCCTTGTGTTTTGGCCTCTGTTTGGCTGTGTTAGCCATGAATGACAGCCTCGCTGCTTGAAGCACACAGAAAGCACAGCCTTGCTCATTCACTGACAAGACTGTGGCCTTTTCACACGTTCCTTCCACAGCAGTGTTTGTCCCCAAACACTGGAACTCGACACAATGGCATTCCTACTCCAACACCCCCACCAACAGCACCAGTACATAACAAGAATGCTAATGAGCCGGAGCCGGCCCTGATGAAAGCGTTAACTACATTTCATCGGAAAGCAGCTATGCTGTTCCAAAGATTACCAATTAAGCAGATTCTGCTTAGCTCTCAGCGATTTCTAAGATGTTTCCACCCTTAAGGAAATACGTGTGATAAATGTAAGACTAAGTGACTTTAATCTGTACTAACTATGATATCTCATTTTTATACCCACCAGACAATATATATTTAAGACCACCATAAGGAATGTGCTTAATTCAGCTGCATTCAAGTTGCTATAACATCCAAGCTAAAGTTTAAAGTGAAAAAATGAGTAGGTTCGTAGATACAAAACCCATAGCCCTGACTTTTCTTTTTAAAGCTATAATATAACAATTTGTTTAAGAGAAGTTCCTTTGGTAGCGTCAAAATTTTAAATCCATTATATTTTGACAGACAACAAAACAACATGGTTTTCACATGGGATGTCAGAAGTAGAATAAACAGAAATGGTATCAAGAGGTAATACAGTCCTACAATTTTATAAACTCAAGATTTGTTAACAAAATAGACACCATCCTTCACCCACATGTCACCTGTCTAATGGCTCCTCACCATGGTTAGACAGAACGTTATATAAAAACGGCTTTCTGAGGTTCGAATGAAGTAAAGCAGCTCAACTAAAGCTCATTAATGCTGAGGGGACATTTGATAGGAACTCCCACTCATAAGATACTGTCAGGCTTAACTCTTTAACAGTACGGCTACAGTGGGCTTTTAAAACCTTAAAACCATGGAAAAGAGATGCAAATAGATAGAATTAAATAAGACTATAAAATTTTTTGCAATTCATGCCATTCTTCCTTGCCTTTTCTGCATACTTTACTATAAAAGCTTACATACCATGTGAAGCTTACCATTGAATGTAATAAGTGATAAATCTGGAAAAGAAATAGCAAAAATAAAACAACAAGAATGTTTTCAAAGATTTTTAAACTTAGTATAGCACTGAAATTCTTATAGAGTAGTTAAATAGACAACTTGGGACAAACTAAAATTGTGAAATTTTGTGCATGCTTACACTTTAAAATTTAATAAAATGCATTGGTCATCATTCTGAGTAATTCAGTTCTTAAATCAAAGCAGCAATTCCCAAGGCGTTTTTTTTCCACACTGTATCGAACTCTTAAATTTAATGTTTAATGCCAGTTTAATGTTTCAGCATTTAGGGTGGCAGAAATGAGAGAGGCTGCCGCTGTCCAGATGTCCTGTTTCTCCAACCCTCACTTCTAACAAAACTTAGAAAGTGCTTTTCTCTAGATTTTATTTAGACAGTGTTTTTCTGGCGTTGGAAAAAGGCTGTGTGCTTTTTTAAGCATTAAGTAACGTCAACCCTCCAGTAAGTGGAACCAAATATACAACAGTAAATACACAGCGATAATTCAGCAAGTCGTAATCCATTTCACGAAATCATTAGATGTTGAACATTAATATTTAAATGGAAAATAAGTTAAGACAACAACACAGCTATTATGCTGGGTTTTGTACTTGACCGCTTAATAAAACACTAAGAAGTTTGAATTTTTAGTCAAATTGACTATCGTAGTTATTAATCCTCTCTGGTTCACTGAAATTAATTAAAAAGCAAACCAAATACACTTGGCTTATAAAAGTTTCTCTGCGACACCCTTGGAAGTTCTGACCCCTCTGATGGACTTGCTCCCACACTCCCTGAGTTGCTCCTTTCCAAGCAGACAGCAGGAGGTGCTGTGTGAACACCGAGACTTGCATTTCATGCCCACCTCCCTCCCCTTCCTCTCTGTATGTAAAGAATGGTGAGATGCTTTCAAAATATTCCATTTCCAACAGCCTGTGGCCTGAGATAATGAGGCAAGTTCTGAAATGGAAGCTCTGAATTCACAGTGCAAATCTCACCCTTAACACAGGGAAGAAAAGGTTGCCTTTCACTTAAGTCTAAAAGGAAAGTTTTGGTTTTTTTAATGTTATGATTCTTTTTTATTATCCAAATTGCAACATTCTGTTTACAATATAAATCCTTCTTTAAGTAATCAAGTGTCCCAAAAGTAATTACAAAAATATCTGTCTTTACCCCTCCCCACACACAAACACACACACAAACACATACACACACATACAACTATAGAAAGACTGCACAGACACTAAAAGGTAAAACCTAGTTTAATTTAGTTCAAATACATTAATTCAACTACACTTTGGATCCTGACACATACAAGTTAAATAAGTATGGTTAAGTATGAGTGAAGTTACTCTTGAGGTGAAGGTAACTCACTATTTCTCTGAAGTCTAACTTTGTTTTAGATCCATTTCTAAGACAGGGAAGTGAGTTCACACCAGGAGAAAAAAACTAAGCATCTAAGTTTGCAGATGAGTGAGAGACATTCATTTTCTTCTTCAGCGTAACTGAGTCTAGAATTTTCACATAAAAATCTGCTTTTGCTTTACAGAGTAAGCACCGAGAGAAGATGAGACCTATGACAATCTATACCAAAAGACAGAGACAGTTAGCTCCGTATCGCGTGCTTCAAAATTCCAGAAGCATTTTCACAGGCTGTGAGCTCACAAAATACATGTCACAGTTCTTTAAAGACACAGTGCCAGTCAGTGCATCTATAGAACCAAAAGCACCTGAATATATATATATATATATATATATATATATATATATATATATATATATGTAGATTTGAAGGGGGTGACTCACCTGCTTGGAATAATTTTTTGCAGACTTTAATCGTTGATGCAAGGCCCCAAGAACTCCTTGGATGTACATCTTAGTCCCCGAGGGACTGAAACCTTCTCCCTTAGAGACCCAAAGTGGTCCCCGTAAAGGTGTGATGGAATTTTGCCGGCATTTTTCAAGCAGAGGAACTGTTGGAGAGAAGAAGAGGGAAAAATTCCTTTGACCCAACTGCGAGACACTGCCTGGAATGCAGCCTCAAGAGCAGCGCTAACTCTTCACGTCCATTATTTATGTCTGACCTGGGTTAAGTCTTCGAGAGGTAATTCCCGCATTACCAGTGGCCACCATGAAGGATGTATTTATATTGCGGCACCCCCCATGCAAGTCTCACAAGCTCCGTGAGCACACCTGAATAGTTCTGAAGTGTGCCTAACTAGCTGCACGGAGTGTCATGGTGTGCACTGATTGCCTTATCTTCTCATTTATCACAGATGAGTTGGAACCAGCCTTGCCGAAAGCTACTTGCATTGTCCTGATAAAACTGTAAGAGCCATGTTGTTTCTGTAGATTGCTTCATGTGGAGGAATCTGTGTGCCCAAAATATCACATCTGGAAATTAGTCATAAAATCTAATCCCCACCTTTATGAACTGCCCCATCCCAGGCCTGTCATTGACATTCGTTAAAGCAACCCATGGAACAGGGTAAAGACTGTTTAAATATACGAGGGGAGAACGTTAAGCAAGGATTTTCTCATACCTTTGTGTTTCCAAGTACCCAGAATATATAGACTAGTGGTAGATTTAGGAACGCTATCCCAACAGGAGTTTCTTAAACATATAACGGTATTTACTTGCGGGCCTGTAATGTAACATTCATATGGACTTGACAGACATGTTTATACATTTTTCACATGATTAGCTCAAAAAGTCTTTGTAGTGTAAAACACTCAAATGGCATGGCAGCTCGCAAATATCTCTATAAATTTAATTTTTTCGCTGAAAAACTAGACACAAATAACAAAATCTTGGGCCCAGAAAAAGATAGATATCACTTTTATTTAATGTGATCTTTACTTAAATATGTATATATGTATGTACACATATATGTATATATTCCAAAGATAACATGAAAAAGAGATATACATTCTGCCTATATTATTCTTACAATTATTTCTGCTAGAAAAAAATGAATTAAGTAGGTCACAGGTAAAGGAAGTAGGTCTGTGCCCTTGGTTATGCTATCTGTTGCATATTTTATACAGAGAGACCCAGCATTGCGACGCCAAAACTGAATTACAATTAAGCTCAGCTGAGCTACTGAGAGGCTGAGTTATGCAAATAGCCTTTGCTATTGGTATTCTGCTAAATCTTACTCTTGGTAAAGAAATCATGCATTTTAGGACACTGTTCTCCAACTCCCTATCTAAGCACAACTTAAAATTCTAGTGTGTTCCTTGCTTGGGAGAATCCTGGAGACAAAGCTCTTAAGGTTTTCTACTGCTGTCTGGAAAGTCAGAGAGTATAATGAGGTGACTTTGCAGATGTGTGCAGGAAAATTGCTCATTCAGTCTGAGAAACTAACGTCTTAAATTCTATAGAGCCCATTCTTAGACAAACACAACAATTGCTTTTCTCTGTAAGTTTCCAGGAAATAGGTGCCTTACACTTTTATATATACACAGATGTGTGTGTGCACATATGACACTATGTACCACAGCAGAAATAAAAAGCAAGAGAGAAACACGACTCACAGTCTTAAACCTTTCAAAAACAAAGTGGGCAAGACAAGTCAATTTTGGTAACAGTTTTGCGCAACTAAACACAGTTTGGAACCGTCAGCATTTTCAATTTGCTGGCACAAAGTCCATGGGTTGCTGTGTACTTGGTTTTGATTCTTTACAGCTCTCATTGTATCCTCACTCAATCCAGCAAATGTTTTGAACCCTGAAAAGCATTACGTACAGCAGTTAACATAGGCCTTAATCTTTTTAAGTCAGATAAATTAGGAAGCAAGGTGACAAGTTTGAAAGATTCAGATGCTGGAGTTAATCTCAATTTTAAATCTAAGAAACTTCTGCAAGTTTCATCGGTCTCATTTGTCTATACCCATCACAGAATAATTTCCAGACTCTTTATGCCAGCCCAACAGATTTCAAAAGAGCATTTCCTAGATTTTTCTAGCTCAAAATGACTGTTTTCAGAGTTTGTAATCTTTATAACAACTTTAGAAAATGTACAGCTTGGGGGGAAAATTAGACCTCAATGTATAGCAAAGAGCCAGAACCGATATTGAGTAGAAAATTGCTCCCATGCGCCACATGATTTACGTAATTAGGAAAACTATGGAAACCAGAAACAGTAAAGCAAAGAAAGCGGTATTCACAAGCAGGTTGTATAAGGAACTTCAGAATCTGCTCAGAACTTGTTGAATAATCTGCTCAGTATTCCAGCCTCTCCCTGCTGGAAGCAGGTCCTCATTATAACCAGGAGAGCACTAATAAAGGTTAGCCTCTGAACTAGGGATTAGAAGGCTCTTTCTTTGGGGACGCTTCAAACTAGTAACTTTGATGATCTTGAAAAGGGAGACAAAGCACAATCCGAGAACAAACAGTGTTTCCACTAAGCAGGGAGGTACAGAAAACAGAAGAAAATGATAGTCTAAATACTCGGGAGAGAAGTGTGAAGCGGCCTGTCTGCTGTGCGGAAAATAAAATGTATTCAGTACAAGTAAGAACTCTCACGACAGGGATGAGTCAGCCTAAGATGCAGTTTGAAATGTAAAAGAATAATTGATGTGGTGAAAGTCACTTGAGTTTTCAACACAGATCATAGATTTTTTAACATGGGGATGGCTGACTTTTTACTGTATTTTAGTGTTTATAAACAATCGTCTTTGTTTAATTGTTTGTTGGCTTCAGTTTTGCTGTGGTTGCTGTTGCTGTTGTCAGACTAGATGTCGCCATGTAGCTTTGACCTTCCTGCAACTCATGTGGTAGACCAGGTTGGCCTCAAACTGCTGTTGACTCTCCTTCCTCTGCCGCCTGAGAGTTGGCCCTACAGGTGTGAGTCAGCACACTTGCCTTCATTAGAGCTCTGTGTTGTTGTTGGTTTATTCTTCTCTCATCCATATATCCCGAACACAGTCTCCCGTTCCTCCACTCTCGTCCTTCCTTAGAGTTCTTAAACAATGGCTTTCTTCTTCTGTGTAGAACTATTCTTTTCTCTTTTTCTGGAGCAAATTGCATCTTAGTCCATAAAATGTGCAAGAAATTAGGATAGTTATTTAGAAAGGTCAAACAACATGCTTTAGCCTCTAAAAGGGGCATGACCTTCAGGTTTATGGAACGAACTCTGGGATTTTATTCCCTGTGTCCTTCCAAACCATACAACTTCTTCAAAGTATTGCCTTGAAATATTGCCTCATACAAGAAGGCTGTTGTCGGTATGGATGGTTAATAGTGGTGTGCAAGGCTACATACATGTGTTCCTCCACATGTGGAAGGCCTTTACCTAGGCTATCTACCAGCTTCCTACTTGATGGAGGCAAGAATTTTTCCTTTCAGAGTTTTCATTAAGCAAGCCCTCAATCCTGTATATTAAAGCGCATTAAAAATCCAGCATTTTTAAATTTATCAATATACATATACACATAGTCATAATCTGGGATTATTTCTACCATTTAGAAAAACTTGCATGGTTAATTGCTTTGGATACAGTTTCTTAAATCACAGATTCTATATTTCAGGTAAGATGAAAATTTGCCTAATAATTTTGGTGGTTAACGTTTCAATCAGAGTATATGTAATTAGGAAAAGGAAGTACTGCCCAGAACAAGCTACAGAGAAACTTTATCTATGTGCATGGTGACCGCAAGCGGTGTTTCCCTTCTTGTCCCACATTACCAGTTCAAGTAGGTTGAAAGCTAATAATTGATTTAATAATGCAATATCTTCTGACTCTAATAATTTAATAATCTTTAACATTTTAATGATTTAAAAATAATCCATCATCTCAATAGGTAGGATTGAGGATGGTGGGCGGCAATGGGACATCTAACCAAAGCGAATATGCGAAAGCTCAAATGCCCATAGTGCCTGTTTGTCTTCATGGTAGCTGTGGTATTTCTACCTGAATATTAGCCAATTAGTGTATTCTTATCCTTCAAGGGTCATCTTCCAGGTTATTTACTTAAAAGCGATTGCCTCCTCTTTGACATTTTCTATAGTATTCTCGTCCTCCTTGTAACAGTCCTTATCCTCTCCCTGACCGTTTCCTCCTGTACTAAAGCTCCACCCCTTTGGAGGCCCAGGTCACAGTGTCTTGTTCGGATAGTTTTACCTCATCTAATAATAATAATGACATAGATTTATGGGTTAAAATACGATATGCAAATTGGGGGATAGTAGATTACCTTATTAGATCATGATGTCCTTTACTTTGGTAAAAGAAGTGCTTTGCTTGTACTGTGGAGGGCCATCTATAGATGAGTCTTAGACCATGAATGCAGACACAGTGACTCACTCAGAACCTGGAACTTCCTACAACCTGCTAAAATTATGACAGAGAAGCATGCCCATAAGCAGATTTCTCAAAGCATACTTAGGTCATGCACAGTGATTTTAATTGTCCTTATAACATTCCTTTGAGAATAATGGAGAGAATCAACATTAGGTTAAAAATCATGAGATTTAGCAGCAAAGTGTTAAATAGCCAGAAGGTGAGAGGTTAGTATGTTTTAAAGTCCTTGGAGACCCATCACGAAGTTTACTCTGCCCCATCATAAAGCAAGCATCTTCAGGGAAGAGCACACGCTGAAGTCTAAACAGCAGGGCGGCAATACAGGACCAAGCTCAAGAAAGCATCTTGAGAACGAGAAAAGGCAGTTTCCTTCATGGCCTCTATAAACACAGAATTCACATGCTAATGTACGAACAAATGTCTTGGACTTCAGGACATCTCACATTAAAACTGTCTTGCCACTGTTAAAAAGTTTGAATGGTCCTGGATGTTCCAAAGAGAGTGGTACCTGACAAGAAACCAAATACCGCATTCAAGAACAAGCACAAAGATTATGATATTTATCAGAGAGACACAGGCTGGGATGGTCTGTCAAGACCTTTGCCTCGGAAGCATACTTCTCCCTCCTAAAACAACATTTTGCATTCCTAGAAGCAGTTTGGATCATACTATGAAAAGTTTTTTAAATTAATTTATTTTCAACAAGCTTAGGAAATAACCAAAGGCTTTAATATCCTGTTTCCAATTTAATATTAAAATACATGCCAATCAAATATATAAAATTATAATTTTCCGAATATGTCTCCCAGTGTCACTGTTTCTACAGAAGCTAAGCATTGCCCAAAGCACAGTACTTGGGAAAAAAACTGCTTTATGCTTTGTGGCACAAGCTGCAAGTCTCAAAAGTGCCCACTGGGAACAAGACATTGTTTATTAGAGATTTTAAAACATTTGAAAATTCCCCGCTAATACAGACAGAATACTTTAAAATAAAGTTGACCTTTCTAGAAACAAATCTCATGTTTGAGAGATGCTCAGCTTTGACTGTCTCCCAGGCCAGGAGGTATATTGCAGAGAGTTTGTTCTAGTGTCAAGCGATATTCAAGGTGTGTGTGTGTGTGTGTGTGTGT